TGTTAAAAAAAAAAAAAAAAAAAAAAAGTGATCAGAAAAGGTGCATCTACTGGAAATTCTAATTCTGCCAATTAATTAGTATTTCTACGAACAATTTCTCTTTGTCATTGACAAGAATTCTGTTTCTCCACATTCACTTTGGAACGTTGAACGCAACGTTGAACGACTTGGAGATAGTAGAGGTAAATGGTGCTGATGATGATGATGATGATGATGATGATGATGATAATAACAATAATAATAACAATAACAATAATAATAGCAATAATAATAATGATGATAACAATAGTGTCGGGTATTTTAATAAAGTTCTTCGGGTATTTACCGAGATCCTTTCGCGCCCGCGCGAAGATCGGAAGGAACGTGAACGAGCAACGTTACAACTTCCGTTCACCATCGAATTACTACACACGTGCTACCTCTACAAGCATACGTGGGTGGTTCTATCACTACCACTATCCATCGAGAAGGGATTAGCTAGTTAAAGAAGCGAGTCGAGTGAAGCGTTGTGCGACTTGTCCGATCGCGGTGGTGTTAGTTGATCAAACGCAGGCAAACGCACGATAGTATATGCGCACTCGGTGCAGGGATGAAGTTGCAGAGTGTTTGGACGCAAGCACAGAGAAGAGAATATGTACGAAAGAGAGAAGACACATCTCAAGAAGCGTTAACTAAGTTCGCTGGGTCGCTGATAACGTTTCTGTCTCTCTTCGAGAAAATTTGCTTTTCTCTATTGTCCAATCGTATCGACTCTTTCCGTTGATTGACTTCTTGTTGTATTAAGAGGAAAAAAAAAAAAAAAAAAAAAGAAGAATGAGATAGAAATGTACATATGTGCACGCGCTCGCGTGTGTTTCGTGTATGGTATAAACGTGTACGTGTGTGTACAGGTGTGTCGTGTGATTGTATCTTGTTTCTTCTCGTTGACTAACTTGAAATACTTACGTGTAGGATCGTTTTCGTTCTCGGGTGTCGTGGGCGACCCTACACAAGCAGGCAAAAACAAAACACATGTCACGTTTTCACATGGTAAAAAAAACACAAAAGCTCAATCGGAAGTTGGGCGTATTCGTCGTACCTGTCACGAGTATACTTAATAACGGTCTTAAAAAAAACTTGCCAATGCTCTCTGAACGTGCAAATCGCGATTCGAAGAGATCACCTGTTTCGTTTGTTTGACGTTTTACGTTTCGCGATTTTTTTTTTTTTTTTTAATCGCTGGGTTGGCTTTGATACATGTTTAATAGAAAGAACACTCTCTATGTTAACACATCGATCGATCGAAAGGAGTGAAAGAAAAAAGAAAAAAAAAACGATCGAACGAAGGGGGAAACAATGGAGTTCACGAACATCTAGTAACTTTAAATCGTTCGAGAGTTAATTTCTATCCAAGTTATTCGATGGATTATACGTTTAAGAAAAAAAAAAAAGAGAGAAAAAAAACAAATATAGAAATATCGTTGGGGAGTGTCAAGACACACGTAAAAAATACTAATTGTAAGTTCAAACATATGGTCTAGATAATACAGTATATATATATAGTGACTGAGAAATACGACGAGAATTAAAAATAAAAAAAAAATGTCACGTAAAAAACCACAATAGATAATATATACGGATCTGAACATGCACAGAACGTGCAGGATACGAGTTTGCTCATTTTTTTCAAGACACTCACGTTCCTGGTCTGATCCATCCTCGGATTTGTCGTCCTTGCTTTTCATGAACGGGAACTTCCTGCTGAACGAGAAGTTCTTCTTTTTTCTGTCCAGTGTCGATTGCTGCGAAGAGAACGACCATTTCTTCTTGTTAAATATCTTCGATTTTTACCTCTCTCTTTCACGTTGAAAAAATATTTTTCAGTAATTATCAGTGACTGACACGCGTGTAACACAAGACACATTTAGTAGTGTCTTTTACATTGAAAATATTGTTAGAGATCATATTTTGAATATTTTGAGTATCTATACACAGTCACACGCTTCATATTCTAATTCTAAGTTATTTTTAATTTCCAATCAAAAATTAATTCTTTTAATTCTTAATTAAATTATTGTTACTCTAGTCCTTAGTTAATCATCATTTATAATAAATTATTTTTATTTGCAACTAACAATAAGATATCGATCCGATCGTATCGTCCTTCTCCTCGATTTCACGCGCAACCGATCGAACGAGCTCACCTTGTCGAGGATGACCGGCATGTGGCCTTGGAACTTGACGGAACGATCCCTGGCGCGTTGCTTTCGTTCCCATCGTCTGCGTGACGGTATTATGCCGAGACCCTCTTCCTCGCCCTGAGGAGTCACTCTTCTAGCTTGCCACCATTCATCGTCGCTGGCATTCGTCACGTGTAGGATTTCACCGTAACGGAATGCCAAACCGCGGCTCGGCAGCCCGTCGTCCTTGTTAGGATCGTAATCGAACAACGCTCTGTGAAAGCGGATGCAAAATCAATTACCAATACTGGATTCTTGCGTTTGACAACATTGGAAATAAATCAGACATCTATTTCCATATTTTGATCCCACG